ATTGCTAGAAAATTCTGGAAGATCTATTTAAAATATATAGGTGATGGGTATATTTTACAGCTTCCCCCAGTTACAGGTCTAGGAAAATAATTCCGGTGCCAGTGCCACTTTATGTACTGCTGTGGTTGCCGTGAAAGTGAGTAATACGCTTTCTGTAGTGTACGCACAGTCCTAATACAGGAGTAAATATGGGTGGATTATTTCCTGTCAGGATTTCTCTCTATTGCAGTTCAGCTTCACTCAACTCTCCTTATAAATGAGGCTGTTAAATACATCTCTTTGCGTTAATTCATCTGCTCCTCATTTCCTATTCCAACCTGAAATGCTCCTCTCGTTCCTCTGTGGCTCCAGATGGGTCCCCGTCCCTCCATCTGTCAGTCCTGGCAAACAAATCTCTCAAAATCATTATCACTGCCGGAGGGGACTTAAATATATATTATACGATCCTGAACACAAATGCATGTGTCCACATAAACAGGCTGCACCTGAGCAGTACGTAGGTTAATGTTAAACATATGACAGCCAGCTTGCCAAGGGACTTGGTGGAAAATGCAAAGAGACATATGCCATTGTGCGTGCACAGCTTGATAGTATTATTAGATAGGATAGGAGGTGGCCAAAACCTCTTCCACAAATTTCCCTGAGTGTGAGAATGATAAAAACTCCACAGTATGAATAAATACAAAGAAAGGACTTAAAATCTACTAATATTGTGATAAAGGTGTGCTAATCTACCCTAGTAAACTAATACATTCCGATTTGTTTTAATGTGTTCAACACATACACATTTCATGGGAAGAAGCTTAGCCACTATGAAGCCTTTCATGGTAAAAAGTTCAACCCAAATGCATGTTTGTATATTGAGTTATACACAGTGATTTTAAATAAATGGTAAATCTTCCAGGGCTTTTGCCTTCTGTGCTCAATGTGCCCAGGTTCTGTCATTCCAGCTCTTCAAAGCCAAAGCTGCTCTCAGCCATTTGTCCCATTCCTGAAGGAACAAATGTGCAGCTTTTAGAACAGGCTGTTTCATTTTGAATAAGGTTTATTGATGGGTTAGTCAGCTCAGTGGTGGTCACTTGTTAGTGTAAAGGAGAGGGAAATGATAGAAAGAAAAATTACAGTATGACAGTCTAGACCAGAATTGTGCCAATTATTGTACAAGATGTATGTTAATTAATCTGGCAATTTATTTTTAATTTACATCCTATCAAAAGAAAACTATTCCTAATTTGTAGGTCATAATGGGCTCGTTCAATAATTTTTAAAATATCTTTAAAATCATATTCATACTCTCTATGAACAAACATATATTATATGATAAACCTTTGAATATTTGGGATTTTAAAAATGCTATAATTTTTTTTTTATTTCCTAGAAACCCTGGTAAAATATTGTAGTGTCCAAGATTTAACTATGTCCACATGACCCTAGTAGTTTTTCCGATGCCAGGTTTTTAATATCTGGATTGGAAATAAAACTGTTGTTTTCCATTCGTACAATTTTCACCTCAACAGAATACCAGTATGTTGGTCTTGGACTTACCAACCTGCAGAACAACAAAAATTAAGTTACGTTTCTTGATCTACAAGTCTATAGTTTTTTCTCTTAGCCTAAATAAATTAAGGCATTTGCTCTTAAGGAAAATCCTCTGAGATCTTCCATAACAAGTGATTGATTTCTGATCTTGTGAAGAAGGAAAGACTGATCATCCAGTAAGAATGTTTATTCTCTGATCTTGCAAGCTGGAATCAGGGTAGTGCAAACTCAGTGGGAATCATAAAGATGAAAAATATCTATTTTCTTTTTTCCCCACAGATATTTATCAGGAAGACCAGCATCAATAGTCACATCATCATGTCCAAAATAGGAGACAGCTTCCTACATCACCATGTATACTAACCTAACAAGGGAAATTTTTCACATAGTTAGAAGTAAACCTTAACTGATTTCAGTTCCTAGGAAAAGTTATATGCAGTCTGCTTAGGACTTTACGGACACTGAGTGCTTCCTAAGAAGGCTTTCTCTCTTGGGGTTATTACCGAGCTGCTCGCACACATATCTTCATCTCTCTAACTTTATTAATACTCATAACTCTTGATGTTCTTGTAGCACTCATGCCACATACTGTGCAGTGCCTATTTATGATGTTTTAACTTGCTGTAGATTGTGCACTCTTTTACATGAAGCACAGAGAGGCCAGATTCATCACTGTGCGCTGAGTCAAATTCAATACAAGATGTGCATTCTCAACAGAAGGTAAATACTAGGTTTACACCCAAAAAACAAGGACAAAACTTCAAACACATTGTAATGACCTGATAATTGGATTACAATTTTAAAATACTATAAATGTGGAAACAGAAAGAGAACTACATTTTACAAAATAAATTGATCTGAAGGAAAAATATTTAATAAAATGAATAGAAATTAAAATCAATGAAAGTGTATTAGAAAATAGAAAAATAATTAAAAATGTAAACAAAATGATTTTTTAAAATCTGTATTAATTTTTTATAAAATAAAAATGCTTTAAAATCTAAAAATTATTCATATTTTATAAATGGATGGTAAATTTAAGCCAAGCAACTTAAAAGTACGATGGTGGTGTATAAATAAATCAATGACTCTACAACTAGTACTGGGATTGCTGGATCTAACGGTACATGGTGTGTGAGATATTTAGGGCATCTCCATACTCATTTTCTTAGTAGGTATACTAAATTTCACTTGCATTACCACTTTAAAAGACTCTCCTTTTCCACATCCTTCCCCACGGTGGCCATTTGATGTCACTTGGAGTATGCGCATTGGCTGAGAGTGAAATGATATCCCACTGACATTTGGATTTGCGTGCCCCCAATGAAGAGTGGCACAGAGGTTCTTGTTAATAACCATTTCAATATTTGTACATCTTCTTTGTAAAGAAGTCTGCAAGTTGTTTAGCTAACTCTATTTGTAGTTCATTGGTTTATTTTGAAATTGACTTGTTTTCCATTTATTTTATATCCTGGATATTAGCTTACTTTCAGATGTATAGTTTGGAAATATTTTGTCTCATTCTATTATCACTTCACTCCACTGTTGTGTTTTTATTCCATGCAGAAGGATTTTTTTTGTTTGTTTGTTTTTTACTTTAATCTTACTTCATTCATTAGGTATTTCGGGTTTTTCTTAACCTATGTTTTGATGTCTACCTATTTACTTTTCTCTCTTTGTTGAGGCAAAAGACCCAAAAGCCAATGTTACAGAAGGAAAGGTTTAGTTAGCTCATGGATTGAGAGTTTCCAGCTCATGGTCAGCTGGCTCCAAGGCAGGGGGCGTGGCAGAGAGCCACAGCAGAGGACTCGCAGTGCACAGTGGGAAGAAGCTGACAACGAGGCAAGGGGTCTAGATCTAGCCACCCCTGAAAAAGCCCCACCTATGGATCCATGAGGTTTTGGGGGGATATCTGGACAAAAGCCACAAAAGTATCACTTCAAAATTTAAAAAACTAATTTTTCCCAGATGAATTTCCTGAAGTACTTCTCTTGTTTTCTTCTAATAGTTTTCTAGTTCCAAATTTCACATTTATATCTGTAGTGTATGTGCCTTGTTTTCGGTGTGCTGTGACTGTCATTGTCTCATCTCATTCTTCTATTCATTCATCCCATTTAACCTGCGACATTTATTGAAGGGAGTGCCCTTGTCCAGCGTGTGATCTTGCCTTGATCAAAGATCATTTGGCTGTAATTTCTCTACAAGGCACATATGTAAAGACGTGAAGTCAGAGCTCTGAAGAGGTATCTGTGAATGTATATATCTTTCAATACTATCAACAGCAAGATATGCAACTTACTTGTATGACCATCTATGACGAATGAATGTAGATAATATAGTATAAATATATAGTTCATCAATAAGTACATGTTACTCAACAAAAAGTTCAATAAAACCCTGCCATCTGTGGCAGCTTAGAGGGACTTGGAGATAATATTGCTACGTGTACTAAATCTGAAACATAAAGACAGAGACTGCATGATTTTATTCTTCTATGAAATGTAGAAAAAGGCTTACTCCATCTACAGAATGGTTACAGGAGGATGGGAGGTCTGCAGAACTGCAGTGGAGATAAGGAAAGATTCAGTAACATGTTAAAGACACATACAGAAGAAATAAATTTTAATGTGCTGTTATACAGAAGAGGGACGATAGTTAGCAATATTACATGTATGATTCCAAAAAGGTAAGAAAAATGATTTTAGTTGTCCACGTCAAAAATGTTACAAACGTTTAAGATGGTGGGTGACCTAAATAGCCTGAGTTCCTTATTACACGGTGTACACCTGCACCAAAATATTACATGGTACCCAATAGGTATGTACGGTTATTATCCCATTAAAATTAATTTTTAGAAATGAATGATGTGAAATGTTCTGTTTAAATGCAAATTAAATTAAGATACTGTAAGTCACTAGAGACGAATAACAACTAAAGTCATCAAAAAGCATATTGATTTCTTATAAAGAATTATACTTGGCAGGGAGGTAGCTCAGTGGCATAAGGGCCTGCCAGTAAAGCACAAGGTCCTGAGTTTGTTCCCTGGTAACAAAAAGATTGAATTATTTTTATATCTGGTTATGAATTTATTTAGTGTTTTATAAAATTATTATTGATTTAGGCTAGCATTTTCATGAGTTTTGATCAATTTGCTTCTAAACAAAGATAAAAGGACTGACTAAAATTAAGAAAAGAAACCTACATTCACTTTCATTTGAAATCAATCTACTGTAGCAACTTCTGGAATCTTAAATTTGTAAGATGATGAACTATTTTAGAGAAAATCTCAAAAGTATTCATTTGTGCTTCTGAGTTCTTGGAATATTAAAAAAAATATACACTCTTAACTAGAAAAGAGGTTGAATGATCTCTTTCTCTGGTACTTTTCCACAAATGAAAAACATTATTCATTCTCTGAAAAATATGAAAGAAATAATATGGAAATTTTGTGTACTCCACAGCCATTAAACTATGAGAAAAAGAAGTCATACACCCTCAACATCGAAGGAGCAAATACACACCTTGATTTTCGATTCTCTCATCTGGGTCCTTTTAAAGATGCTACCATGCTCAAGATCATCGTGGGAGATGTAGATGAACCGCCCCTCTTTTCCATGCCATCTTACGTCATGGAAGTCTATGAAAATGCCAAGATTGGGACCGTGGTTGGCACTGTTCTGGCACAAGATCCTGACAGTGCTAACAGTTTAGTGAGGTATGAGATGCTTCAGTCTTTCAGACGTATAAATGTGTGATTGTGCCTCGTTAATTTAATATGAATTGAACAATGCTTAAATATTTTAATTTACAGATGGCTTTCATTGAGTTGGGAATCAATGTAACTATCTCCATGAACAGAGTTGACCGTACGGACCCATGATTCCATTTAACTTAATAGGTGTGAGCAAAAATTCCTGAAAAAGGTGCTTCACAAGTAATCACAAACTAAGGTGATATGGTCAAAGAATATCATGTGACAGTTAAATCAAAAGCTGTGGATGACATTAATATCTTATTAACTTCCGTTTCATCATCTGGCCGCATAGCAGTTTCTCTTTAGCTAATCATCTACCCTTATCTGTAACAGAAATAAAAGATCTGTCTCTTGGAGTTAATTTGAGACTACATGAAGTGATTTTCATAAGGAATTAAAGGCAGTGACCTTCCCCATTTGGCTCCTTAACCATTATATGACTCCTTAGTTATTAGGGACTGATGAGACCTGTCATCTCACATGCTAATGCACAATGAAGGCTTTTGTAAAAGAGAAAAGTCATGATTTTAGGGCTCCAGGAAGTTCAAAGACATGTAACAGAAATCAAGATTCTCTCAGGGCTAAGATAAAGAACTTCTCTGGATAGCCAGTATTTATTTGGTTTTCACACAAAGGAGGGAGATACTGAAGAAAGAGGGGGAATCTGAGCAGGACCTTAGGAGTCCCCATTCAAGGACTTCCTCAAGTAGTACATTACGTTAATTTCAGAGAATTGTATTATTAACCAGGAAGGCATTCACTGCAGAAGCGAGAAGCCTACAAATACAGACTTTCTCTACTTAACTGAGGTTGGTTGGAGCCAGGTGTCCTTCCTGTGGCCCTGCTTGCCTTTAGAGGTATCGTGGCTTCATAGGCCCCCACATGCCTCAGAGGGAACCAGCGACTCACAGAGGTTCACTTACTCTGAGTCCACCGCTCATCTCCAGACATGGGCCCTCGGCCTCGGACAGACTCACAGATAAGCATGGAAAGTCATTTGGTTAACTTAAATCCTGCTCAGAGCTTCTTTGTGGTGGTCTCCACCAGTCACTTGGTGAAGGCTGATGTGTCCAGGGCTGGCTAGAGTGCCAGCTCACAACGTGGGTGATGAGGACAGGAAGATGCCTTTGGACACTGTGCTGTACCTGCTCCAGCTGGGTGATGGTTTCGACCCTCAGCTACTCTGAAACTCAAAATATTTAAAGGAATAATAATAATGTAACAGTAGGTTCATTGGATTCTATTATATGGAAGTACATGACATTGCACAATGCCACTTTTTAGGTGTTTACTACAGAATATCTTATTGGTTTAGTGTTTCACACATTAATGATAATTGAAGTCCTACTGAATAATCAGAAAAGGTTTCACTTTCCCTGATTTATGATAGAACCAAAAGTGCTGTATAAATGTGTATATATTTCTTACATATATTTATTCTTTTGGAAACGTCGAAGCTCTACAAGGTGGAATCCTTAAAAAGTGTGTCTCCTCTTTCTTATAGGTTCTTTATTCTCATCTTCTGTAGGAGCCCTCAATTTTAACAAAAGCTAATTTACGCAACATTCTCAACCTACATGATTGTGTATGACAGAAGTGTGCATTGACAACCTATCTAAAACTTTATCAACAATATTTTTGTAATATTTATGAAAGCCTTCAATTTCTTTATTGTCTCAGAATGTTTCATTTTTAAAAACACTTCATAGTACCCGTGTTCTCAGTGAAAACTGTCACCTGAGCACAAAGGTGTATCTTCGCCATATCAACTTTGTCAGCAAATGTAGAAGCAGCATTTGACATGCTGAGTGTGAGATCTAAGCATTGTTTACAGAGGAAGGATAGATCAGGGATGGGAAATAATATGGGCAAGACTAGTTTCAAAAAGCAGGGCTGGGTATGTAGCTCAGAGGCACAGTGACTGCCTGGCAAGAGCAAGGTCCTGAGGTCCTGAATTCTATTCCTGCTACAAAAAGAAAAAGGGGGGAGGGAAGGAGAGAGAGAGAGAGAGAGAGAGAGAGAGAGAGAGAGAGAGAGAGAGAGAGA